ATCCTAAACCTAGCCCTGTAGACTATAGACTGATTTTGAGTTCCATACCTGAGTTCAAGAGCAGCTACCAGTACTCTATAGTTGTGCCTGTCGTCAACTGACAACTGTCCAAGTATTTCCAGTGGTTGTCCCTTCAGGCTCGTTGCCAGATACACTGCTTTCTGCTCCTCTGCCCATCCATTCATTTCTGTCAGGAGCTCAAATTGAGCTCTATATGCTTCCCATGGTGCCTTCCCATCGAATTCCTGTGGCTTTCTTCATACTAGATCACCCCTATTGCTGACACTCATGTCTGGAATGTGAAGATGTCTGCATTAGGGTTTAGCTGCGGGGTCTGGATGGGACTTCCTGTTGTCTGGGGCTGATTAGGTCCATGGTTAATATATCCTCTCTGTGTAAAAGACAGTAAATCATCTTTTAATGTGTTTAATTCACTTTGAAATTTACTAATCTTTTCCATTTGTGTATGCTGGTTTTCTCTCAACTGTTGGAGACTTTCTTTTTGTTTATTTTCTTTCTTCTCCAACCACTGCTGCAGTCTCTCTTCTTGTTCATTTTCTTTCTCCTCCAACCACTGCTGTAGTCTCTCTTGTTTGTTTTGCTGTTCAAGTTGCCACTGATGCAGGTTTTCTTGCCACTGCTGTAATCTCTCTTCTTGTTTATTTTCTTGTTCTTCTTGTTTCTTTTGCTGTTCTTGTATTGCTGCCATCAAACCTGCTAAGCTGTAGTTTGATTTGTCACTTCTTGTTTCCATCATCATCTTCTTTTTTTTATTTTGCTTTTCTGTCCCACTCTCTGACACAAATTTGTTACATATATGCTCGTTTGTTAATTTCTGATATAAATTATTCCTGAGGAACTTCAGCGATACAAGTCCCTTCTTGATTAAAACTAGTTTATTCTTTCTCGATACAACTTTTTTGTAATACACAGTTTCCACAGTCCTTTTCAACTTAACCTTTATAACACACGCAATAAATCACAGTGATTCACACACTTTACTTATGGTGCTTACTGTTTGCTTGACTCAGTTATCTATCTCTCCCATCTATCTATATCTCTTCAATCATGCTGGTTTTTCTTGCCAGGCTTATATACTAAAAAAGAGGGCATCCAGCAATCACTCGGACATTCATGGGGCTCCCTGATAATTCTAGAAACTCCAGCTCGCATGCTCCCAGCATCACGCAACTTCCGCTGTCGTAACAACAATATATATAGATACACATACAACTTATTAGTATTACTAGACAAAATAGTACATAATTGTGGATAAACTATTTTGTTTAAAATACAGTAGAACATGTTTATAATTATCCACACAATTATCCAACAAAATGTTAACTAAAAATCTTTGGTAGAAAACAAAAAAATGTTGTTTATATAAAATGAAATAAGTGTGTACAAACAACGTTATGACTTTTGTTCAGTACTAAGCACGATACTCACCATTATATCCGACATATAAAAAAATCATCTGCAGAGTTTCAAAAGAACTGATAGTTTTTTTAAGTGTATTTAAAGCACCTTATAATCTGATCATTTTCATATTTCCATGTTTGAATTTAAATGTTTCATTAAGTGAAATAAATAAAAACTAGAATTGAATTTTTAAATGCATAAGATTTATAGAGTACCTCAACTACTAAATATTTTGCAGAAACATGTGTATGACAACTAATGTAAGCACTGTTGTAACACTCAAGAGATATGGTTAGTTTCAGACTTTTTAAATTATTATAAACGAAAAGATTTTACACTGAGAACTATGCAAGGTTTATCAAAAGGAACCCTATTTGTATCTTTTGTTTTTTTTAATTGTTGTAGATATTATTATTTAATTTTGTCATTTGCATTAGTTTCACTACATGAAGGAAAAATTCCTACTTTGATCTTGCCATTTGCAAACCATAAAACATGAAACTATGACAGCATGCTTTATGGCTTTCAGAAGCTTGAATGCTTCATCGGCCTTTTGCAGAATGGTGTTGCTCTGCGGCCCAAAAAATGCTTCTTAACTAATACGAAACATACCAAAAAATGTCTCAATGTAGTGTTATTATTTTCAACTTATCAACAATCATAGAAAAGTATTTCCTGGTTCATTATATTCTAAAATTGAAGGCTTGTTAAATTTATAAACAAGATGCCATGTGCACACGCCATTTTGTTTAGTGAAACACACGAGTCAGCAGGTAATAACTAGCAAGCCTTGCAGGCACGAACTAATGAATCTCCATGAATAATAAAAGGCATAGAATTGGAAAGAAAAATTAACAAATAAAAATAAGCTCTAAGTAAAAAAAATATAGACATGAAATTACAGATATGAGACAAAGAAAACTATTTTAGTGAATTTTTATGAGGAGTTGAAAGGTGTATACATATTTCCATTTGTAAATTTTAAACATTTCTTTGCACTGTATGTTTATGATAATGGATAGTTAGCAATATAGTAGAGAAAATGGAAAATAAAATGTAAATATTTACCTTAAAAAAACTTTTTGATATTCATTTATGAGGTTCTAGAGATTATACAAATAATTTTGAAAATTGCAAGATAAAAAAATAGTATTTTCATCTTCATATAAAAACCACCTTGCAGGAGAAGCATTCAAAGTCCGAGTGCAAATATTAGAAATGTTCTTGTCAAATTTTAAACAATTTCATCAACTAGTTTTAATTTTGGCAAAAAGTATGATGAGAGCAATGTTACCTACTAAAAAAAGTAGTAGCCAGTAGTCATATCTTACCTGTAATGGATAAAGTTGAACAACAACAATTTCCACACATCCAACAATTCCTCCATCTGGAAATAATGATGATAGTGACACAGGAAAAGGAATAGGACAATGAAAGAATCCTAGACGAGAATCCCATCTTGCTCTTCTTGTGGAGTTTGCACTCAACTTCAGTTTTAAATCAGATGATGCCTAAAGAAACAAGTAAACATATACAGTGTTTAGCCTTGGGTAGTTATAAAACAATTTCTTGGGTTTGTGTTTCTTTTACATATTAAGTGAAATTTGAAACCTTGAATTCTATATTTTCCAATGTAGCAAAGAATGTTATGCATAAAGAAAAGAAACCTCAAACAGTACAGGGAACATAAGAACAAAACATAATAATTTATGTAGTTAGTGCAGCAGAATGTAAGAAACACCAACTTGAATGTAAAAGGAACTAAAACACACCAAGATATTATTGTAAGAGAAAGTATGAAATGTTAGTTTAAAAGGTTTGTAAAACAAATGGTGTGTAAGTTAGGAGGAATGTAGAAAAAAGTATGAAGCAAAAACTTAAAAGGTTACTAAAACAAACAGTATTTACACTATAAATACAAGAGGTCAGAGTAAGAAAGTATGAAACAAATTAAATGATAAGTAAAATAAACAATAATGAAATTAATTTTTTGTTCTTAGATGTCATGTTTTTTAAGACCAGATTGTTTACAGTAGGTGTCTACAACTTGTTGGTGATAAATTTGAACTTTAAACAAACAGCAAAACAGTTCACTTGTTTTAAAATAATATATTAAAAACAAATCATATGTACCTACAAATGTTTGTTACCATAACTGTATCCAAAGCTTTAAATAATTGTCTGTTTTTCATCAAAGTCCACTCAACTGGTTCAGTGACTTTAGAACACAATTGACAAGAGACATTGTTCTTCTCTACTCTGTTATTACAATACAGTCTGTGAAAATTTAACTTTAAAAATCACTACTATACACTCTTTATTGCTGAGCTCAGGACCATGCAGTCTAGAACTCAATAATGATTTCTTGATGTTTATTTGTAATTAAGTAAAAAAGCTACACAAGGGCTATCTGTGTTCTGCCCACTATGGGTATCGAAACCCGGATTCTAGCATTGCAAGTCCACAGACATACCGCTGTGCTACTGGGGGCAATTTCTTGATGCATATTTATACCCCAACAGAAGTCTAGAATATTCCATGCAATATAGATATTCTGATGCAATAACACTCAATTAAACCAACAAGAAATTGAGAAAGTTCTAGAAACATCACACAATAATCTCACTATTGTAAACAATCATTAATTCATAACAACTGAACTACACAATCTATGTTTCATAAACAGGTACATAATCAAACTTACCATAAAATATTACTTCTAAAAACAACTAAATATGACATCTGAATTATATAAACTATCTAAATAGTAACACTCACATTAAACTTAAACAATCACGTATATAAAATCATAAATAATATACAACATTAAACTGGTACACAACTAAAAACATTTTATTCAGACCTATCTATGGCCTTCAAAAAGTTGACGACTCTACATGTTTCAACGACTCCTGAGGATTATGTTGTAACGTCGAAACATGTAGAGTCGTCAACTTTTTGAATGCCATAGATAGGTGTAAATAAAATGTTTTTAATTGTGTACCAGTTTAATGTTGAATATTATTTATGATTCTAACTTTATACACAAGTGCCAAAATACTATAATCATGTATATTTAACAAGAGACACTAAAGTTGATGAAATGTTTTTAGTTTAAAACAGCTCTTAATGAAATATAAGATTTGATTAAAACAAACTTTTCCAATTCAGCAGCATAACTAGGTCAACAGCATATAGAAACTAAGGAAATTCAGACTACTATGTATACGTTCACCTGGATGTTGTTAAACTGTGTTTTATATCTTTTTAGAAGAGTTTCTTTAGTTTATATTTTCACATAAATATAGTAGTCCCTCTTAGATATGACCAACCTATCTTTCATGATAAAAAACTCCCATCTGACAAGAAGTCGTTATTCAAAGGATCAGTAACCAGACAACAAATGACAAGTTCAAGCTGTGCCAGTTGCTATTCCCAGCAGTTGAGCATAATGGTTTATATACTGTATAGGTAATCAGATAAAACAGCAAATTGGTACACTGTATAATGATAGTCATGATCAATAACAGTTCAATGAAGATAATCAAAATTGTTTTGTTTGTGTTTTATGTAAAATACTTTCATCATTGATCACATTTATTTCATAAACATCCATGTATCACATTTTTATTACATACATATAAAATAATACAAACTGACACAAAATTTATTTCATAACAAATCGTCCATCATTGTTTGTTTTGCACATTTAATAGTCACTTTGAATGTTCACAAGTTTGGAAGTTATTATATCAAGAAGTGTCTTGTTGTTAGTTTTCAGCACACAATTTTAATATCAGTTTATAAAATAAAGTGCAATAAACGTCCAGAATTCTATATCAGAAAAAGAAGAAGATAATTGGATTGGTTTTCTTTTATATACTTTTTTAATTTTGCGCAAAGCTACACGAGGGCTATCTGCATTAGCTGTCCCTAATTTAGCAGTGTAAGACTAGAGAGAAAGCAGCTAGTCATCACCACCCACTGTCAACTCTTGGGCTACTTTTTTATCAACGAATAGTGGGATTGACCATCACTTTATAATTCCCCCATGGCTGAAAGGGCAAGCATGTTTGGTGTGAAGAGGATTCGAACCCGCAATCCGCAGATTGTGAGTCGAGAGCCCTAACCCCCTGGCCTTCCCAAGCCCAGAAAATTGGAAACCAGATTTATCGAACATAATAAAAAAAAATCCCATATTTACCACCATTGCAACTAAAAAAGTCCACAGTATATCACTAAAAAACACTAATTTTAAACAAAGAACCAAACATCGGAAGCTACATATCTTAACTGAACAAAATAGTCCCACCCTAAACCAAAATTTCACCTTGAAACTTGGATCCTTTGATCCCAGATCTGAAAAGGGACCATTATATGAATTTAAAAGAACCAGTAAAGAAATAAGAATAAATATCTGAACTAAATTATTGCTATACTCTAGCTAATACCTAATAAAGTAATCCTCTCTGAATACAAATACTACATAAAATGTAATACGTTGCATTAAAAATTTGAATTTGACTAAACATTCTCTGATTTCTATGTTTTGTATATTTTATTACTTTAGTGACAACTTTGGTCTATATCAACATTCACGTCACGTTTCTATATCAACACTTCGAGTCTCCTCCTCCTTCACAGCACCTTCCTGTTCTCAGCTTGAGACATTTGCAGCTTTCCCAGATGCCTTGAGGCATTTCATTAGCCATGCTTACTACACAGATTAGTCGAGTCTGTTACTCAACAAACTACGAGTTAATAATCTTCATACCCTGCTAGTAAATCCTAATCAAGTTACTTAACATCTAAGTCACTAGCTTAAAATCTACTACATTCACTAATAGAATAAACCTTAATTCCACAAGTGAGGCAAAGACAAACAACAGTTTATGACTGCCCCTGGTTACATTTCAGGACCTGAAAGTTTTTAAACCAAAATACCTAAGTGTATGTACCAAGGAGTTTGACTTGAACTCCCCGGGAGACCAAGATACATACACTAAGTTGTGAAGCAATCTCTGGTCATGTGACCTCTTTGTAAAACATTTAGTTCCGTTTTCAATCTTTCAAATACAGTTATGGTGGTTTGCCAATGTTCTCATATTTCTTTGACATAAAAGACTCATGATTAATAAACAGTTGTTACTGTAAAATATATCACTTTAACTTACAGTGAAAGAACCAAAATGTGCATATTAATTTGAAATTTGAGGTTGAATAAAAACAAAATTGTTCAATAAATTAAGTAACCACTTGCACTGGAAAATCCTTTAAATCAATGAATATTTTTTATATTTGACTAATTTAAGATGTTTATGCATTATATGTATGAAAAAACTTTAAAAACAGACACCTTCTATGAAGAAGGGATGTAAAAATCCACCAACTTGACATCCAGACTAACAAACTTGAATTTAGGCTTAACTTAGTTGGAATCACTTAAGATTAGGAAATGTTTTGAGATGACCCTGCTGGGTAAAGCTTAAGTTCACCAGGAGGAGTTGCATTACCATCAAGCAGAATGGCAAATATCTTTTTTTTTTTAGCAGACTGGTGATCCTTGGAACAGCCAAGAGCCTTCCAGGTTGGATGGGCTGTTGGATCTGCAAAGGTTACATAGAGGGCAAATGATGCTCTTGTTACTGTGAATTGTACATAAATGTCATATACATACACAGCTCATAAATAGATTGGCAAATGAAGAAGCTGTTGTATGGAAATATTATGATTATACTCCCATCATAACACAGAAAATGAATATATCTGGTGTAGTGTGCTTCATCTGTAAGATGTTAACCATTAGATAATATGTACACACCAGCAACATGCTAATCTTGGCCACAAGTATTATATTTGTTAGAATTTTAAAGGCTTATAAATCAAAGCAAAGTACAATATGTTATAATACGTCAATCATACAACACTGGCCATATCCAATGCCAACAAAAAGCTGGATGTGAACATTTGTATTAGCTGCCAGAATCCAGTGGTGGTGATATACAAATAAATTAGCTTAACAATATTCAAGGGTACTGTAGGTACGGTCCTAGACTTGTATTTCAGGCAAATTCTCAAAATGGCTGTACTCAGAGTCAGGTGGTGCAACAACCTGATGATGTGCTTAGATGGTTTAGCACTTTATATGCCAAATTGTAGGGTAGGCCAACCTCTTACCCATGAAGAGCCATAATACACACAATGAAAATTTTGGGAGGCCTAACTAGAATAGAATTTTTATATTAAAATTTGTTTGCAAGTAAATACATTTTAATGCACGAATTTAAAGACCCTGCTACATTGGAAGGATGGGCTGTTGAATATGCCAGGGGCGGCTGGAGGGCAAATATGATGCACAATGAGTGTACTGGTTGGATAAAGACAGTCTTAGAGTCATGTGCAGCCAAACAGTTGAACACTTGATGTAGGATTATCTTGGTCACTATTCAACAGTTTTAATCAAGTTGCACTAATGGTTCAATCACAAGGAGAGCTGAGAAATCCAAAGAGC